GAATCTTCTGCTACAGGCCTTGTTTAGGCCAATGCCTCTAGTCCAAGCATGTCAAACTCAAAGGCTAACAATGGCCAAATAAGCAAGGTTTAAGTTTATGTGGGCCTCAAAAAACAAAAACTTCAGTTTTCATAGAAACATAGGATTATTTAGAAAAGTACAGTATAAAAAAAGTTGGCTAACTGACACTGGACGTCAATACAAAGCAGAAAGGAGACTATGTTGCCTAATCCAAACTTTGTTGGACATAGAGGTCAGTGTGGTGATACCAGCTCCACCAAAGGGCTTGGACCCTAAAAAAACTATACGTACAGAATACACCCCAAACAGTGGGGTGGGGGGGGGGGGATTGAAATATATACGACTTAAATAACTTACTTTAAGATGAGCCTTGTGAGGCAGTAAGCCAAATCCCCACAGCTATATTTGTACAAAATGTATCCAGTAGATCATGGGTTGTCAACCTGTTCCCTACCCTAGCAGAATCCTCCCTCCATCCAGAGAGATGAATGCTCTACTCCTCTCTCGCGCACTCAGTGGTAAGCAGGAAGTGCGAGGTTGCAGATGCGAGGGCATGAAAGCGCGAGCATGTGTGCCTGAACGCGCATGTGTGAATGAGTGTAACACGCGGGTAGAGGAAGGGGAGGAGTCGGAGTAGGTAGGGGAATACACGATAGGGCATGGAGTAAAGAAGGAGCAGAGTACTTGTAAAAAAGGAGAAATAAGGAACAGAGTACTTGTAGATAGGAGAAAGAAGGAGCAGAGTACTTGTAAAAAAGGAGAAAGAAGGAGCAGAGTACTTGTAAAGAAAGCAGAGTACTTGTAGAATAGGAGAAAGAAGGAGCAGAGTACTTGTAAAAAAGGAGAAAGAAGGAGCAGAGTACTTGTAGAATAGGAGAAAGAAGGAGCAGAGTACTTGTAAAGAAAGAGCAGAGTACTTGTAGAATAGGAGAAAGAAGGAGCAGAGTACTTGTAAAAAAGGATAAAGAAGGAGCAGAGTACTTGTAAAGAAAGAGCAGAGTACTTGTAGAATAGGAGAAAGAAGGAGAAAGAAGGAGCAGAGTACTTGTAAAAAAGGAGAGTACTTGTAAGAAGGAGCAGAGTACTTGTAAAAAAGGATAAAGAAGGAGCAGAGTACTTGTAAAAAGGAGAAAGAAGGAAAATATAAAAAGGAAAAGGAGAGAATCTTTGTTGGCTAATAATAATAATGGGGCTACCTAGCTCAGCCTTCCTGCTGGGCATTGCTATAAGGAAGGTAAAAAATGGGAAAGGGGAGGGGGGTGAAGGAATTGAGGAGGAGAGCTGATGCACTGATGAGAAATCATATTATGAGCAAACAGAGAAATCGTCTGAATATCACTGAAAAAAAGAGGAGACCTTCCTTTGTTTCTTATGAAAATTGAACCAGACATCAAATATTTAGTTTCGCAGCATCAGCCTTAAGGGTCTCATTAATCACTAGTTGAAGGTAATTTCAATTTACTTTATTGTTTTCTCCTTAAACTTTATAAAGTTGAAAACATTCTAAACATGCATAAAGTAGAAATAAAAAGATAAATGTACGTACATTTTTTTTTTTAAACCCCCTCCTTTCTAAAAAATATTCCAGACTTAGGCAAAAACTGGTGGACGGTAAGGAAATTTTTCCATCAAGAAAGATGCATTAGTGGGCGGTAAGTAGAAAAAGGTTGACTACCCCTGCAGTAGATAAACACTTTATTAGGTAAAATATGATACAAATTGAAAAAAAAGATGGGGAACAATAATAGTTATGTATATAACAACACCAGATCCTATCCTCGTCTATTAGTCTCAGAATGCAGCTGTATGTAATAAGGCTAAACCAAGCCTTATAATTGCTGCTGAGACCAGATAACAGGATTAGTTGGTCAAAGGAAGTTCACTAAACAGTGAACCAGGTAGTTGTATCATAGAACAACTATAAACACATGAGACAGGAGGGCAAAGAGGGTGTAGCCTGAGTCTAGGAGATATTCTAAAATGAAGTTGCCGTGAATAGTATTTCAGGTTCAAGTTGAAGGAGTTCTCACTCATATCTACTAAAGCAACCTAAGTAATGTAGGTATCCTTTGCCCTCTAACAGCAGAGACGGGGAAGGAAGGGGGGCAAACATCCATGCAGAGCAGCCAAAACTCGTAGGTATTAGATGTAGTTGCTACAAGTACCTGCATCTCCTAAGAAACACCTTCATGGGTGTTCTATGCTAATACCTTATTGTAGCGGAGCCCTAGTCCTAGCAGGGACTCTCCTCCGCTGGTTACTCCAAAATATATTCTGGAACAGGTATAATACTCCAATGAAACAGCCAAACACAGTAAAATAATCTCTCACCTCATGCCCCGCAACTGGACGACACTCAGCTCTGGGGTATAACTGGTTTTAATGGAGCCACACATGGCCTTTTATGTCAATCCCCATGCAAGGGGTTTCCTGATACACATTCCAGGGGAATTCCCCACTGGACCTGAGAGTAGACTGAAATAAACTACACAACATAATTATATTAACTCTCAGGTCCAGGACATATACACTAATAACACCCCAAAACATATAGTTGGCAACAAGGTACCCCCTCAAGTCTTATATCCCCAGATGGAACTGAGCACCCAACATAACTGAAAAGTGCTCAGATCCCACAAAAGCAACCGAAACGCCACCAGGGTATAGTTTAGACAGACGCACATGAGGCGAATGCCCAAAAGAGTTCCATGAAATCAGGCTGTGCGGTTGTTCTCTTTCAGGGGTGTAAAACATACAAAAAATAAAGAATCAACTGTTCGTGCGTACGCTCATCCCACTTATCTTGTTCGGGAGTATGCTCCCCCCAAACGCCACTATGTTCGTGTGAAATCTGACTAACATAACCGGAGGTGGAAGTCACAGCGTTGTTCGCGCCGTCAAGTATCCGATTTTAGTTTCACACACTTGACGACCAAACACCACTGTCTCTGTTCGTGGCTAAAGATAGCCTCCGCCATGTGTGCGCACATACGAACTGCGGCCACCCAGCCAACCACTTAAGATGTTAGTGTTATTGCGATTTATGGAGGTGTGAACAGAGGTTACTGGGGTTAACAAGCGGCACACTCCACATATGGGTGGTCTGGCATTCAGTGATTTGTTCGGTTGTCGAACAGAATACTATTAAGATAGGATGTGAATGCAATTTACCGAACAACCATGTGAACACGGTGAAGAGCTTGATAATCCAGGGACAGTGAGACCTGTCCCACACACGCAATAGAAGTAAAAACATACGAAATAACAGGGAGAAAGATATGGCTAGCACATAGAAGGAATAAAGTGTAATGTCCAAAAGTTTGTTCCGCTGCACTCACCTCTACTAGATCAATCCCTCAGCTCCAGTCAGCCACCACAAGCAAATCTAAAAGAAAAAGGTGCTACACACCAAGTGAGTGCATTAGTGTTTCAAGTGCTCCATAACGTGAAGATAAGAGGACCCAAGTAGCGTTTCGGTGCATAAAGCTGCACCTTCGTCAGAGGCTAACTTTCTCTGTGTGGACTGGGTTTTTATATGCATGAGGACCAATCAGGTGTCGTTGGGTAACCCTCCAAATCAGGTGTCATATTGTTGATTCACATTGCTGTCAGGTGTGAGAGAGGAGAGGGTGGTGTCCTTTGGCAAACCGACCCGATCCTTCTCACCTCCACGTCACAGCTCTGGTAAAATTACCAGTTCTCCAAGTTTTCACCATCTGTCGGTGTGCCGCACGTCATCCAACACTCCGCCCATCCTTTAAATCCCTCGCAATGCACATTAACGTAACATGTTAAATTGGGGGGGGGGGGGAAGAGGCAGGAAACCAGGGCAGAGGCGGAGTAATATTCTATAGTTTACAACTGCATATTTGATTTTGCCGATACAGTTCTTCAGAACATAATCTAAATAGATTGCTCGATCTCCTCCCTTAAGCTAGTACTAAGTGTACTTGAATATTGGAAGGAACTGGATCATCAGAGAAAAGTCTCCTTTAGATTTCAAGGTTGTAATAATTGCAGTTGATTCCCTCCACTAATCGATTTGACAAAGTTTATAGGGAGCTATATTGTGAGTTCACAGCTGGTCTTAGGAGTGTCATGGGGGTTCATATATTCAGCTGATAATTGTCCTCAAATTTGATGTACGAATTATGTAGAAAAAATTGTTATACATGAATCATAAACAAATCCATATAATTAGGATCCTAATATCATTCAAGTCATTAAAATATATTCAGTGATTTGCCTACCCACTATCCAACTTTAGAGATTCTATAAATAAATTAAAGTGTGAAAAAAGTATATATACAGTGTTTAGTTCCATAAGTCATGAATTGCTGCAATATTAATATTTCCAATATAAATTGTCAGAGATCATTGATAAAGGGAGAATAGGAAAATCCTCCATTTAATCCATGCGGGGATAAAGTTTTCAAACGGTAGATCCAAAAGCATTCTCTTCTCCTCAGAAGTTGGTCTAAATTACCTTTCCATGGATCCAATTTAACTAATTCGATGCTCAGGAATTTTAGTACTGAGGGGTCGAGATGGGGGTCTCTATATTTCTAGTAGTTCTTTCAGAATTGATATGCTCCAAAATTCTTATTTTGAAGGGACGAAAGGTCTTGCAAGAAAGAGTCCTGCAAGAACGCGTGGGAACGGCTCGGGCACCAGCCGGGCTCAAGAGGCAGCTGCCCTGGTCCTGCAGGAGCAAAGGGAACGGCGTTCCTGCTATGAAAAAAGTGCAGGAACACCATTCCCTTTGCTCCTGCAGGACCAGGACAGCTGCCTCTTGAGCCCGGCTGTTGCTGCCCCGAGCCAATCCTTTACTATGCGAGCGACATCGCCGCATAGTGAAGGAGTCAGGACTCAGGAGGATTTACTTGATCTGGGTTGCTCCTCCTCTTACCTCCCCGGTTGCTGCTCCTCCGACCTTCCCTGCCATTTGCGTACGCGGTTACGCGAGTGCCGTGACATCACGTGGAGTCACGGCGTCATGTCGGCAATGCTAGGGTGAGACCGTGACGGTGAGACTGAAGATAGAATGAAGAAAAAAGGCCTCACAGTCTCACACACGGTCCCCACACTCCTTCTGCCCGGCCAGCCAGCACCCTGCCTGAGACCACAGCACCCCTGAGGCCAGGCCAGCCAGCACCCTGAGTCCAGCCAGCACCCCAAGGCCAGGTCAGCACCCTAAGACCAGCCAGCACCCTCCCAAAGCCAGATAAGCACCCTAAGGCAAGCCAGCACCCTCCCTAAGCCAGGTCAGCACCCTGAGGCCAGGTCAGCACCCTCCCTCAGGCCAGCCAGCACCCTGATGCCAGCCAGCACCCTCCCTGAGGCCAGGTCAGCAGCCTAAGGCCAGCCAGCACCCTCCCTGAGGCCTTGTCAGCACCCTGAGGCCAGCCAGCACCCTAAGGTTTGTTTATTGCATGTGAATTTTGCAGTTGTTTGTGTAAACTGGCACTTTATAGTAAATGTTGCACTGAATTTTCTGTGAAATATATATATGCATTCCCCCCAAAAGAATTTGGGGGGAGGGGTGATGGATCTTGGGTGAGTTCCCACACTTTTTTCCCAGGACTTGACCCCTGGTCTTACCCACATATAACATGTTGCACTGGCATACAATTAAGTATACCACTCCTTTAGTATTACAATTGAAAAAGGAATATCGTTGGAACTTTTCGTTATGTGAGCTGTTTTCAAAGCTTTTGAATTTTTGCAGATGAAATTGCATGCTTTGCAGGGTCCACATTTGTAGGTCCCTATCAATTTATTTGACAACCGGGGTGTGGAAGATGCTATTTGTTGGAAATGGCTGTGAACCAAGGAGTCTTTAAGGTTTTTACCCCTTCTTGCCACTATACATGCGCTCGATGGATTTGCATCCTTTAAATGTTTTCGTCCTGTCTAAGGAGTGGTCAGAATCTGTCCATAATTGTTTCAGCCTGCATCAAATGTTGCCACACTTCTAAGTTATTTTTGATTTCAGTTGGTATGGGTAGATAGGGAAATATTGTCTTCCCTTATAAGTTTTCTTTGTCTGTTAGAAGAACCGCTCTCTTTAGACATTTGTTCAGATATCCTTTAGATCTAACATAGAGTATAGTTCTTTAGCTCTTTTCTTAAAATCTTCAATATCCGAACCATTTTGCTTAGGTGATAGGTATTGGCCTGTAGGGATGCCCCTTTTAACAGACACTGGATGTCCGCACGCTCATAGGGCATCAAAAAAAACAGAAGACCGAATTTATTTTAAGGAGACATGCATTTGCATATAACTAATGTTTCAGTCCAACCACCTTAATATATTAAGAAAAGTTTGGTAATTGGACTGAAATGGTGAATGTATGCTGTTGCACAGCTGTAAAAAAACAAATTACGTTATTTTGTTGATTTTGTCCTACGAGTGTTTTCTTCACTTTGGCAGAGATCATCAAACTTGATGATCTCAGCCAATCCCATGCTTTCCCACAGAAAAGCATTGGAAGGCTATTGTGCATGTGTGGCAAAACACTGCTCGGCCAATCAGCATCTGCATGGAGCGTTCAATGAGACCCAATCTAATACACTGACCCCTTCCGCTATTCTAGTTCACTGCCCCCCATCTAATACACTGCTCCCAAATCCAATACACTGCCCACCATCCCTCCCACCACTCCTATACACTGTCCCATCCCCCCACTCTAAAACACTGCCCTCCCAATCTAATACACTGTCCCATTCTAATACACAGCCATTCCCAATCTAATACAGAGCCTCCCGCAGACCCACATCTCTCTATAATACACTGCCCCCTCTTCCCAATCTAATACACTGCCACCCCTCCCTCAACTCTAATTAAATGCACTTCCCCCTCCTCCCAATTTAATACACTGCCCCCCACCCACAACTCTAATACAGTACCCCCATTCCTCCCCCATTAATATACTGTTCCTTCCTTCCCCAGTGTAATACACTGTGCCTATCTCCCCCAATTTAATACACTCCCTCCATCCCCAATTTAACACACTACACAGGAAGGTCCTCTTCCCCCATCTTAAGATGAGCCACTCGTCCTCCAGTTCTAGCTCTGCTCAAGCAGGCTAGACGCTCCTCTGGCACTGCGAGCACAAGGGAAAGAGGAGTGGCTGGCCTGCTTTGCAGGCAGACAGACACTCTGCACACTGTTGCACAGCCACCGGATATGACTTCACACACTGTATGTGCATATCTGGCAACCAGTGTGGACTAATGCTTAGCGCTTTTGCGGCCGCCGGAGCATGCGATCAGCTGTGGCAGGGAAGACAGGAAATATATTTCCTGTCTTGCAGCTGGTCACAGGCACAGCTCAAAGCTGCCCCAGGGCAGGCGTGCTGGAAAGATAGTAATTGTGGGCCTCTTCTGGCTCACATGCCGCAAGTTTGGCATGCTTGCTCAAGTCCATAGATCCACCTTCTCTCAGAGGTGCGATCGTAGGCCCCCAGGTTTTCCGTAGCACAGGTGGTCCTGAGGGTGTATGGATGGCTGCTTGGAGGCAACTCCGAGCTGGCCTCTGGCCAGATGGGAAGCGGAATTCTGCTACTGTTGTCATTTGTGGGGTGAGTGATGTGGTCCAATTTTGAATGCGGAGCCTGAACTTCTGGCATATTGCTTCGAATTTAGAATTAAAGAGGTCTCTCTACTGCTTGACCTCTAGAGCCTCTTGAGGGTTTCAGTTTTCCCCTACAACGGCCATCTTGGGCACAGCACCTGGATTACTTCGCACCAGGGCTGCAGGTAATAAATCACAAACTTAATGTCCTAGTGGGGACCAAGATAACCTCATCGGTCCACGTGGGGGATAACGGGCCTGCGAACTGTCTGACAAATAAAGTGCCCAGCGCCAAGATATTGTCTGCTTCTCCCAACTGCCTGTGCGACTGCTCCAGTAGGCCTCAGGGCCGTGCAAGCATGAGCTGGTCAGCCTGTTAAGTCAAACCGAGCGACAAGGGTCTTGGGCTAATATAGGTGGTTTGCTTTAAGTCCGGAGCTGTATTTGCAAGAAAAGTAATGAAAAAAATCAAGCTATGTATAGTTAAGCCGGTGAGAACAGCTAAAAAAAAATAGGAGAATAAAATATTGTCATTTAGTTGCATGTCATGATATATAATCAGATTAGCTAAAAGACAAGTTGATAGACTAATGAAAATTATCCAAATATTCACCCTCCAATTGAGAAATGCAGTGAAATATAATCATTATATAGGGAAAAAATGCTAATCTGATCTGACATTGTACATATCTTAATTTTGAGGCCATAGGACTGTGGCCCTCTAAAAATATAAAATGTAAACCAATATCGGAGATTTGATATAACACAGGATAAAATTAGCCATAAAGAACGTATGATGGATTATCTGAGCACATTAAAGAATATTTAAAAGTGGCCACAAGATCATGGCAGATGTAGTCATCAGTGTAGGACTTACAAGAGAAGACCTCCACCTCAAGGTTTCCCAATTGCTGAAAAATCAAATAAATATTCGTACTAATATGTGACAAGTGAAATTTATGCAATGTTTCAACCTGCAAAGGTCAAATCCATGGTCAGAGAATCCTAACCAAATCTTCACAGCATATAAAACAGACATTTCAGAGTGTTTTCACAACCTCCATTGCAAAACTAAATCTGATATAAGCCTGAGTACTGTGTAATGCAATAGAAAATCTTACATGAATCAAAATATAGTGCATTACATTCAACTAATTTTGTTTTCAAAAATTGTTTTCAAAATTATATCTAATAATCAATTAGTGCAAAATATTATTACAGAAAAAATATGTACGTTTTGCAAAATTATTCTTGGTGATAAATGCAGTAACGCAGTTTAAATAAAAACATAATCTTAAACGTTGTCACAGCTTATCCAAATAACACAAAAGTTTATTAAAGGAAAAAAACCTTTTCAAGAGTAAACATTTTAGATTTTTTAAGGAGTACTCTATACCTCATGTATCATGGGTTCTGGAATAAAGTAATGGGTGGGCATTGTTATTTATACTCATTCAGTCCCTATATGTGCATACACCTTATTGGTGTGAAAGTAATTTAGATAATGCTTGTTAGATTATTTGTGTTAACTCTAGTCTAGTTTAATAAACAATTACTTTTCTATTCCGTTCAAGTAATTAAAAATATGTGGGCATGAGAGCTCTCCCTGCTGGCAGAGGGGAGGACCCAGACGTACATGACGGTCTGGACACACTGGATACTGACCTCGACTAACGCTGACTTCCAGGATCTGTTGATGTGACTAAAGACACCTGACGGGACAAACGACCACCTTGACTGAGAGAGTAACTACACAAACAAACAGGGAAAAATACCAGAATCAACATCATAATAAACAAAAACACCCCCTCCCCCTCTCCTCCCCTCCTATCCCCCCCCCTCACCTGTCCCCCCCCTGGGGGAACCCGCGGGCGGGAAGGCGACACAGTAGAGAAGTTCATAAGACGTAGAGGCTCCGGACGGACGGGCACCCTCTAAGCAAAGAAAGGAAGAGAGGGAAAAAATAAGGGTAGCAAAAGGGGAAGGAAAAGAACAGGAAGGGGAAAGCCAAGAGTAAAAAGAGAGAAAAAGAAAGAAGGGAAAAGAAAGGGAAAGGTGTAAGGAAGACAAAAAGGAAGGAGAAAAGAGAATCAGACAGGAAAAACAGGAAAAGGGACAGGGGTTCACAGTTAAGGATAAGACAAGGAGAAACAAGCCTAACTTTGCACCCACGCCAAACGCGGGAGTTAATGAGCAGACAGGAATAAGACGGTACAAACCACCTCCACCCCAGCCAGATTAACAGGGGTATACCCCACCGTCACCAAAGATCCGAGAACTGAACTCGCAAGGCACACACAACATCCTTTTTCTCCCCCATACGGTTGGTCATTAGACACTACCTGTCTAGACACAAGACACAAACCACCTTTGTCACACTGGGTGACTTGGTATAGCCACAACAACCGTACGATAGAGGGAAAACCCCATCCACACAAAGGTTCTTAGGACCTATGAGCCCAACTAGTATGTGTCTTTAGACTGTTTGATGACTTGCATGTCACTATGGTTGTTCACTATAACTATCTCATGTCTGAGACATGAACTGAAAAAGCCTTTATTGGACCTGTGTGTCCGCGACAATGTTTTATGCATAAAGTGAAAATTCTTTGAATAAAAGAAATTTACAAAAAAAAAAAAAAAAAATATGTGGGCATGGAGTGGGTGTCCTGCATTAACTCTTCCCCCCCACAAAATCCCAAAGAAATAATCATCCTTAAAATAATGGGAAAACATTGGAGTAAAAACAAAACTGACATATCCAGAAAAAAGCTAAATACGGATACCTAAAAATGATATATAATGTTTATATATATATAATTATTA